TATATATATATATATATATATATATATATATATATATATATATATATATACACACACACACACACACACACATATATACACGGATATCTATATATACATAAACATCTATATATACATATATATACATGTATTCAGATATATACATATATTCATAGGCACTTCTCTGTATGGTAAAAAAATATATATAGATTTTCCTCAATGTTTATGTTCTAGTGCATGGGATCTCACCTGAAACTTATCTAATCAACATCTGCGATAAATCCAGTTTTGAGTAAAACAAAATGCCGTTCTCCTTACCATGTTTCCTTTGGATTTCTGCGCTCTCTGATCCGTTCCTGGGCACTGCTGCTCAGCTGGTTAAAAGAGGTCCTCTACACGTTTCCTGCGTTTACAGCAAAGATAAATCTCAGTCAACATATTTCTGTGTTGTTACTTTCTCGTATTGGTATTATTCTATGGCTGGATGTCTATATCTATTGATGAAGTATATTTAAAACCATTCTGGTTTAGTTTTATTTAAATTTGTCTCATTTTCAATCTGTAAAGTCTAAAAGGTTATATTATTCATGCACTACTAATAATTAATGCAATTTCTTTGCTTTATATTCAAGCAATTTGATCATGTTGTTCATTTTCATTAAAAAGTTTATGTTAATACAAAAAAATTTAGTTTTTTTTATTTACTTTACTTACTTTAGCCAAGCCTCATTAATATTCATTTAACATAAACTAAGTGAAAAAGCCAGAGCAGCTTGTTCAAACTAAGCAAATCCCATCATTTGGTAGACTGCAGAGAAATATTAGTGTGTGCAGGCTGTGTGAGACTTCAGAGCATGAGGTGCTGAAGCTAATTATGGAAGGGAAAGCCATAGTTTCCTCCGTTATTTGTTTAACAATGCAATTCTTCAGAATTCATGTAACAGCAGATAAGAAGCCAATCCAACCCTGTTCTTCCCAGTAATGTGACAGCAGCAGTTCAGACCTGTACTCTGTTTTTAAGGGATCTGTTCCAAGGTCTGACCTAATTAGAATCTAGCTCTTAAAAGTTGAAAACTCCTAGAAGTCTCATGCAGACATGTAACCAACACCTGTGTAGTTAATTGCAAACAATGGATGCCTGAGACGCTTTCATTTGTCTTGTCACATCCTTTTTAACTTCATTTTAACGATAAAATTCTTATGTTGGCATATTGTCAAATAAAGTTCAGCTTCAAACTTAACTAAAATGTTTCCACAGATGGAAAAACTTAAGCTACTTTTTAATATTTGACACCAACTATCAATGCAATGTAACATTATTTGTAAAAATGTCTATTGGTGTCTTTTTTGTTTTGGCTCTGATATGAAGTTTAGAAACCCCGTCTTTATACAACATTTTTCCCCTGATCAAAGTCTAGGCTCAAGTCTCTGAAGGATGAGTTCAAGTGTTAAGTTTTTATCTTAAGTTCAGGCTCTGTTAATTGCTGCCAGTCTTGGCCAGGATAGCTTTGTTAATGAGATGCTTAATCTCAGAGGAAATAACCATACAGAGATAAATGATGAACATTAAATAAAAGTTTAAGGCTTTCATCCCAGGTCCGTCTTTAATGGCAGGAATAAACATTTGGCTTTTAATTAACTGCTTAAAACAATGTTTTAGGGCTAAATATTTACATTATTTACTGTTGGTCCTCACTATTTTATACCTAACAATTATCTTCAATATTTAAACATTTATCACCATTTAAATCCTCAACCTATTAAATAAACATGCAAAAATTCATGAGTTTTTTAATTATTATTATTCGTCAAGGATAAAATGTAAAGTAATTTACAAAACAATTTGTTTATGTTCGAAGATACATTACATAAAAAGGGTGAACGAAAATGTTGAAAAAAAATTTGCAGGTTTTTGTATTTTATGGTAATATTTTCAGTCAAGTTAATTACAGGGTCTGTAATTCATACATTTCAATTAATCACATTTTAATCAAACATCATATCGACAAAGTAAACCAAATTTTCAATTAAAAAACCTTTCTGCTTCCCAATTATTAGATAAATAATCATATGACCACAGCAACACACATTTCTTGTATTTAATCGATTATATAGGTTATTCAAGCATCAGATTGGTTAAAAGTTATAATCATTTATTGTTATTTAGAAACCTTTGATATGTTATGCACAACTTTTTTATCTATAAGTGTTAAAAGTACATGAACATTAATTATTGCACATTTCCTTCCACTAAATATGATAAAAATATCTAACTGCAGAGGAGGAGGAGTATATATGGGAGACGGAACAATGAGTGAGTAATCAGCTGATTGGGAGCAGGTGTGGACAGAATAGCAAAGGGAAAGGAACGAGGTAAGAAAGCGTAAACAGGGTTTAATAAAACTAGAAAAGAACTTAAATGAAACTGAAGGGGAATAATAAAAATGACTTCAAAAATGAAGATTGACCAGGGGGGAAACTAGAGGATAGGGGACTAAATTAAGATGAATATGATATAAATATTAACAGCAAACAAAAAATAACATCAATGCGTAAAAAAAAACCCAAAGTGAAAACTTTTACATTTGCTATAAACAGAAGATAAAGTTTCATTTTAAATACCGACACACTAAGAGAGTTCAGCTGTGCATAAAGCATTGCTCAACAATTGCTATTCCATGTTCATCCTCTAGTGCAGTTTTAACTTTTCCCACTGAGGCTAGTGTTCCTGGTTAAGCCAGTTACTAACGGAAATAATCCGTGTTCCTGGTCCAACCTCCTTTCTACCCGCCAGCATTCAGACAGTATTTATTATGGCGACCTCAGAGGCACTTCCGCCGTAGCTTAGAGCTCCATAAAGATTTGAGGTATTTGAACTGAGCAATGATTTTTAAGCTTGAATATCCTCAGTGATCAAGCACCTGTGATACTCAGAATTATGGGTGTACAAGAAACAGTGAATACAAAGGTTCCTGCTTGGGATTTTACAGAAGTATCTGTGTGAGAATATCCAATTAGTTTAGTTAACACTTTTAACGTGTTAAAATGTTTCTAATTAATGAATTAAAATCAACACGTTTAAATCCAGGCGCTAGTTAGTTTCGATCTATATTCAGTATTAAATAGGGGTGAATATTGTTGTGATGCGATACGCATCGCAATACTTGGGTCACGATACAATATGGACACAAATTGCAATAGAAAGATATATTATGGTATTCTACCCAGGTAATATCAGAATTAAATGTAGAGATCAAAGAGCAAGTGCTGTACATTCAGTAGAATATATTCATCATTCACTTATTTTGTTGTTTTGGTAGCCATGTTGTTTGGGGTTTGAGTCACTCAGCATCGGCTACTGTGATTGCCTCTATTACATGCACAGAAAAGGGCTCCAAGGCCCCGTCTACCGGAGTGGGGATGCAGAAGTAGTGATTTATTTATTCTGAAAAAAACGATATTAGAAACTTAAGGATTGATATTATATTGGGACGCCAAAAATCACAATATATATTGGCAAAATGATTTTTTTTCCAAAACCCCTAGTGTTTAGTGGGTTTCAAGATTATTTGGAAGATATATTTTATATTAAAAATCACAACCTTTTTAAAGGTATATAAAGAATAACAATATAATGGACTGAGGTGTGCAGTTGACTCAAAATTCAAAATTTTATTGGAAATAGATCAAGATGTGCTTTTATTTTGTTAAATGGAAGCTACTAAAGCAATTGCTGTAATGACACTTAAACATTTACATTAAATTAAGATTATTTAGGTCTGAAAAAAGAGGCATAATAAGAATAAATATTAGAATAATTCTAACAATAATATTAGAGTAAAGAAAAATAGGAAAGATTTTTGGGTCAGACAGTGAAGCAACTGGTACATGTTGGGTATATATGTCCTGTACTATGAGAAAGGTTGGTGTCAAACATCAAAATTACCATTACCTTTATATGAGGAGCTACCTTTTATGTGCACATTTTAAATGCAGAACATCCAGAGGTGCTTTTTAGAACATAAAACAGAAATTTATCCAATTTACTAAAGTCCTGCTAGATCAACCATATCCAACCGACACATTCGACTTCTACAAGATAGACGCAAATCTGCCAGAGGCTAGCTTTACAGGCAGGCCACCTTCTTCCAAAAAAACCCCCACAATTTGAGGGTAACCCCAACCAAGAGATACACGTGCGGAGAAAATACACCAACGTGTGCGTGCTCCTCCTTCTGCAATAAAAGCATCAGTTAATAAGCGATGGATTTTTGTTGGCTGAGCCCGTTGGAGACAGAGGAAGGCGCTCTGGCTGCCAAATCAAGTGTTTTCACAGCCTGAATCACAGCTTACCATTGATACTAGCCCAGGGAGGAGCACACACACCCACACACACACACACACACACACACACACAGGGACATGAACCAAAGCAATTTACACAAGGTACTGAAGAAGGGATGCATGTGCATTTAGAAATGATTCAACATATATTAATTTTTAGATACATTTACAGTAACTTTAAAAAAAAAAGGGTTATTGCATTAAACTGGAAAATATTTGGCCTATGCAAATAAATGCATGTGTCTGTCCATCAGTAGCCTTTGACCTGAACTAAAATCTTCAGGTCTGCTACAAAATGAAAAATTCACCACATAGGGCTCTGCCTAAACATAAGAACAACCCACTTAAAAACCTGAAATGCAGACAATCACACACCTGCATTTCTTCATCTCTTCACTCTGACAAGTCTCCCTTTCTTAGCAAACACACACAGAGAGAGAGACGCACACACCAGGCCGTTCACACCGAGTGGGGAGGAAACAACAGTCACCATTAGAGGGCCTTCTTTTCGGAGCAAAATATCTCACCCTCTCGCTTTCTGTCTTATTCTTTCAATCTCTGCTACCTCTCTGTCTCTCTCACACCCCCCTCCACCCCAATCTCAATCACTCCTCCAATGCAGTTTGGGCTGTTTCCATGGCAACTCGCCGAGTCCCATGGTCGCTGGAGGGAGAGAGAGCGTTACCCCACTCGTCCTCCCCAAAATAATAATAAGAAAGCAAAATAAAAGATAAAAAATCTTCACTCGAACCGTGGGCTTCAATCTCTGCTTGTGTGTCCATTATTATTGTGCGTGTCATCACTGTATGGATCTGTGTGTGCGGGTCTTTTTTTTCCCCCCCTGAGTGGTTGGAGTGGCCACCAAAAAAAATAAACATTTCCACCAATTTTTACTGTCTGCCTCAGTCTTTGTCTTTTTGAGACGCAGAAAAACCGACTCCTCTCTGCTGCTGCTTCAGATACTGATCAATAAAGATGATAAAATCTGATTCTTAATCTTATATTCAGCTGTTAAATATGGAATAATTATCAACATATGAAACAGTCCTGTGTAATCTA